AAAATAATGCCGATACACCAAGTCTAGATATATATCTAGTAGTTGAGTTCTATATGGACTCTTAAAATAAATAAAAAATAAAAAATAAAAATCAACTAAACTGAGAGCCTGATATCTCTCAAATTCCATTATACGATAACCCTCATAATTCCACATAGATATATATTATATGGATAAACATGAATTCAAAAATTAAAATATATATATATATATATACAATATATATCTGGTTGTTACATTCTACCCTCCTTAATTGAAATTTCGTCCTCGAAATTTACGTACCTTCATTTATGGTCCAACGACTCCGCCTTAGGATCCTCTTCAGGATCATCCTCTTCACTTTTCATTTCTTTGAGAAGAACTGGGTTTGCATTGGGTCCGTAAAATGGAGGCCAATCTCGTACACTAGATACCTTTCTCGGTTTGTACTTTGGAATAACACCTATTGGAATAGAACTTTTGATAACCATTCCTATCTTTTGAGTTCTCCCTCGCATACAAGCCGATAAATTGATCTTTTGCTCCTGTTTGTTCTCATTAATTTTCTTTCCAGTCATCTTGATTCTAAAGTGCAATCAGATAAAAAAAATAAAAAATAAAATAAAAAATAAAAGTCCGTCTAACTTTTTCACTCCTAAAAAAAAAATCAATGGCAACCATCCAATAATAATCAATGAATTTACAAGACTTATAAATCCAAATTTTTTTTCATGTCCAAATGTAAAGAACAAACCAAATGTTCAAAGATAAAAAAAAAAATGCTTAGCAACCATTAATAGGTAACCACAAACCTCTACTTTATTCCTATGCCAAAAGCTAAAGAGAGAAAAACAAATAATCATAATAATAAATTCCCACTTCTTCATTCATAATCTCTTCCTCCTACTTCTGCGGCTGCGGTTTCTTTTCACCCGTCTCAGAACTCTTACGTGGCTTTGGACAAAACCTTGCCATATGTCCACTCTCCAAACAATTATAACAATTTCCCCAGAATTTATATGGTTCCTGTCCCGTTTTTGTTGGCCCTACTGATTTGATTTGTCCAGCACCTTCAATTCTTTGTCGTTTTCATTTCTGCTCATTTTGTTCGTCTCTTGAACCCCATTGGCCACGTTGGAACTGATCATTCTTACTTCCTTGAGCTTCTTGGAAAGTACCCTTTCCTTTTCCTTTCTTTTCTGACTGTTGCTCCTTTTTCTTTTGAAAAATATTGTTGTTATTTTCTTCAATTGCCATGGCACATTCCACAACCTTTGCATAAGTGTCACACCTATGCCCGACTACCAATCTTTTAACATGGGAGATCAAACCCCACTCAAACTTTCGAATCCTATGTTCCTCATTAGCCACTATGTGAGGAGCAAACCGAGAGAGTTCCGTGAACTTTGTCTCATAGTCACTAAGGGTTACGTATGTGTTTGTGTTTTTTTTTTTTTAAAAAAAATAAATAAATAATCTGATTTAGTCTACTTTACCTTTTACTTCAAGAATCTAGAACATTTAGAAAAAGTTCATTATCTATTCTGGTCCCCATAATCAAGATTCACTTGAGTATGGATGATTGATTGAAAACAACTTAATATTTGAATCAGTATTCAGAAGAAGATAAGATACAATCAGGAATATAAGATATTTACTGGCTTTGTTTGGTGTAAAAAAAAAAAAAGAGAGAGAGAATCAGCATTCTCTTGCTCTAATTTTACGACTGTTTCAAGCATACGCTAAAAATAAAATTCATGCCATGTATTAAGCATACGCTACAAATAAAATTCATGCCATGTATTTCAAAGAAATTATCGGTGAATTTATAATCTAATCACACGATTTGTAACTGAACTGAAAACGGACAATTCCGATCAGTTATTGGAAGTATGATTCATCGTATGGTTCGATACGTAATTTTTTTTCAAATTCGATACGTAACCCTTATCGTTACACCACGACAGCTACGATCATAACCGATATCGCGAATCATGATTGAAAGTCATGAAAATAGGTGTTAAGACCAATGCCTTGGGCCAGAAATCAAGATCGAATGCTGAGTATGCATCAAAACAAGGGATGAAAGCTGAAGAGTTTAGATCCGCACGTGTTTTTTCTTTTTGACTCAAAGTTGAATTTTGGAAAAAATACAGGAACAACCCGACTGCTGGAATACAAAGACGGTCGCCCCCTGCTTTGTGGTCGCTGATAACATGGCAATGCAATTAATGGATTCACGTTTATTTTGTGATTTATTTTTGTGGCTAAAATTTGAGCAGACATCTATTCAAACTTGCGCCAGTAATATGATTCAAGCTCCTCCCATCTACATCAGGCCGGTGTCCAATATTTTGGTCAATAAGTGCGGCTTTCATTCACTCCTTCCATCAATTGAATACAACCTCTATTAATGTAATTTTGCTTTCACTTCACTAAAATGTGGCAGACAATGAAATTCGTCCCACAGTTTGCTTCACTTCATTAAAATATCTACTCGAGTCTTGTAATTGCTTATAAGTTACAAAGGAAGCTCCACCACTGCGACAATGAAATTAAACTGCTTACAAGTTACAAATAATTTATTTTCGGTCTCATGGCAATGAAGTTATATATATACATATATAAAATTTGAGTTAATAGTATGAGTGTAATTGAATTTTGAGTATGAATCAATCTTTTTGTATGCTTTTTATTTTTATAGTGAAATATTTGCTTTGTTTTTTCTCATTAACAGACATAAATTTTTTTCTTCTATTGCGTGCCTAATTTTATTTCTTTGTTATTATTTTCTCTTGCTCTCGTAAACCCTCATTCGATCCTTTTCATAACAGTGTCAAGTCACACCGAGTAAGATTGAGATTTTAAAATTTAAAATATTTAGAAAACACTTCAAGTGAATCCTACAACAAGGAGCGTGGAGCATATTCAAACTAGCTTTTCCAACTTCTCCTCATGGATATGTGGTTTAAGTTGGGCAGTAAGCAGGGGTAGAGCCAGAATTTTGAACTTGGGGGGCCAAATTATATATGGAGGAAATAATATTAAGAAAATGAGAAAAAATAACTTAAACAAGTAATGATGAAAAATGAAACATGAAAAAGAAAAAGAAAAAAAAAAAAAAAAAAAAAAAAAGGTTAAAAGAAGAAGCAATAAGTTATTGAAAAAAAAAAAACAAACCAAAGAAAATATATATATTGTTCAACAATTAAATTTTATTCAACAACTGTTTCATTTTTTAATAATTCAAACTTTGAAAAATAATAGTTTGATTACTTTGATTTCACTTTGAGAAAGACATGTCAATATTACCTTGACGAAAGATTAAGAGAAAAAAGTAACAAATTAGCTAAACAGAATTTCACAAACTTCATCGTAACACACTAGTGTTTTATTAACTTATACAAGGAATAATTACATAATTTGTGATTTGACAAGTGAAAACTAAAAATATTAGCATGATAATATTGTTGTTGTTTAATTATTATTTTTATATATTATAATAAGCCTTTTTTTGAAAGGTAAATAGTATAGTAAGTTTGTTGTTGACACTCGTATCATCTCGATCTCATAATATTTTAATTTTTCCTACTTCAAAATATTCCCAAGACTCGGAGATTGACATTTGATTTTTGTTTTTTGTTTTGTTTTTTTTTTTTTTCTTTGTTATCATCATTTAACGAAAATGGTTGAGAAGAAAGGTTAATCTATTTTTTAATTTAATATGAGACATTAGTGTGCAATTTTTTTTCTCTTAAATTCATTATATTATATACGTGTATATGAGATTATTCAATATGAGACATTAGTGTACAATTTTTTTTTTTGGGGGGGGGTGGGGGGAAGTAAGGTTTAATTCATTTATAAAATAACAATTTGGGGAAGTATAAGTATAATTTTGAAAAAAATTGGGGGGGCCATGGCCCCTCTTCGAAAGCATTTTTAGCTTGGCGTCTAGATCCTTACAAGACAATACTCGTATTGTATTAAAGTTAACAACACACTCGCGCGTGTTACACAATCACACTATATTATAATTCACACCACATTCTCACCGGTATCAGGCTTTGATTCAGCCAAAAGATCTCTAAGTAGCTACCATCAGTCAATGCGCAACAAGTGCGATCCTTGACAAGGTTGCTCAGCACATTGCTCCGGCCTAAGATATGCAAGAATTCGACGGGTAGATGTAAATACAAGGCGTAACAAGTCTGCACGTGCAGCATAATCATACGTGTAAGTAATTCAAACCGTCCAAATGATGGCACATGTACTACAATAACAGAAGATCCTTACCTCGTAGTATTCATAGTATTTTATACAAGTTTATCTCAGTCTATGTTCCATTAACTTTTGGGATGCCAAGTCTTTTGAAGGATATTTGATGCCCTTATGCCAAGTCTTATTGTGCCCAAAGGGTTGATGTGAGATAAATCTTAATTTAGTCAAATTTTGTATGCTTTGCATACATTTTCACCTTTTTTTTCTTCGAGAAAAAACAGTGAGGTTGCACCACTTACAAACCCCCTTGGCAGAAACTTCCATTCAAAGATTAAAATCTAATTACTTCTCAGAGTTACTCAAAGAAACAATTTAGTATCTAAATGCAAACAAAGTCCAGATGATCATTGGGTCACAAGTTCAGTAAGTATGATATCTCCTAAAAAGGGAGGTTGAATATTCGAGCCCTATATCTTGCGAGTGCGTGGACATTTGCTTTAACTTTGGAGGGGAAAAATAAAGCCCTATAATAAAAAAGTTTCATTACCTTTCTACTTCCTGTATTGAGTAATCAGTGTGTTTAAGCATTAGTATATGGAGCAATCCTAGTGCAAAAGCCATTGCAGCACAATAGAGAAAAAGCATGGCTTGTACTATACTGTGTCTATACTATATATCATCAAGATTGATGGCTTGTTTGAAAGCATATTTCTTCATCACAAAAGAGCAAATCATTGATTAGGAAGCGCGCACAATTAATTGATGTAAACTGTAACCATACAACTCATGCAATATTGACATATAGATGATACTGTATGATAGATACAGCAATTCATTGGATTGCTCTCCAACCTGAAACTAACCACAAAATTCCTGAAGTATTTACAATGCCTCATTAAGGCCCAACACCAATTCCACATGTGCAGTGTTATTCCCAACTACATTACAAAAAGGAATGGAATGGTTATAATGCCCCCATTTAGTTAAGGCACCAACACCACCTATTCCACACATGTGCAGTGTTATTCCCCTACTACATTACAAGAGGAATGAAATCACATCCAACTGCTCAACTCCTAAGAGTTCTTCAAGGACTTTTTTGAACTCAGATGAGTCAAAAACTTGTCCAATATTGAACATGCCAGTTCCCCTTCCAATTCATTATTCTCCTAAACTCCTAATTCATATTGGTTGAAATCCACTGATCTGGGACTCAGCCAATTTTCATTTAGTGTAAGGAAATATACTTATACCACTACGCTTCTTCTTGTTTTCGTCTTGGGAAGTTGTCGAAACATCCTTTGTATCCGGCCTCTTCCTTCCGTCAAACATTGATCCAGAAAATTGTGAAGGATGAGTCAAGATTCACACCTCCATGTTCTTGTGAGAGATTTCTTGTAAAGCTTTTTTCGACAAACTTTGAGCCTTGCTGTTGTTCTAAGAAGTCTCAATGGGAAAACAGGTTTCTTCGCCACCAGTGCTCCACAAGAAACTGGCATATTTAGATGCATGATTGGAGTTGTCTGGTTCAGCTGCCATGGCTTGTAGGTACTTCTCTTCTGCTCCCCAAAGATCCTTCCTTACTAACCACAAGAAATTTGCGTATAGGCTCAGGGCCTCCGCATCTGCTGGTTCCACTTGTAGGGCACGCTTGAAGCACTCCTCGGCCCTGCAAAATTCACAAAGTAATATAAAAAATGAAAAAATAAGTAAACAAATCAGTAACATAATTTCCCAAACCATGTTCATGCTCAACTCCTTGGGCTCTGCACTCGTTCTTTCCGTGTGGGACGGTGCCAAGGAGAGAAGGGAATGAGTTGAGGCGGCGAACAAGACAACTACATTTTGGTTTTTCCCTCCATGAGATGAGCCCAGTACATCGGACAATGGATAAGAGAACTGAGCTGGCCCAAAAGCGCTTGGGCGCTTAAACACAAAGATACTATGATCACCCACTACAAGTTCCATAACAAGATCAAAATTTCTTATCCCATTTTCAATTTCAAGCTATTAGATGAAACTGATCTATGTAGGCTGAATATTTGTATAGTTAATGTACCTACCATTGCAATACTTGGGTGCAATAATTCCAAACTCTTGGACTCCTCCCTTCAGTCAAGCTAAATCAACATAACAGTAATGCTCAATCTGAACCGAGGATTCTCGCCATTAATAATGAAAATGAATCAGCCCCAACATTGTTATCCAGAAAGCTTGTTTCCTCATTCAAGTTCAATTTCGGATTTAGCTAATTAGCCCTAAATTCACTACTGACAACACATTGCCATGCTAAGAATTCATCTCAACTCCAAGAACAGGATTTAGACCAACGTATCTGACCTTGTGCAACAGCTGTCAAATCTGTTAATGTTGGGGTCAGATAAAATTCCTCAACTAAAGTTACACCAACACATATTTCTATCTAACATAATTTCTCCGATGATCAAACAAAACAACAATCACTAAAGAATGCAAATGGCTTAGACAAAAGTATACGAGTTTGGGAGAGTCACCTGTCATAGTCATGAGCAACAAGGCCCAGGAACTGCGCGTAGTTGCAGAGCAGAAGTGGATTATTAGGCTCCTCAGATAAACTCGTCTGGTATAGAAGATCAGTTCTATAATATTCTATGTAATTGTCAGGTTCAATATCCACAGTCACAGGTGAAGTGAAGCTTTTTATCATCTCGTGATCAAGAACATCATCTCTCAACTCGGCCTGTGTCCTCTTAGCTTCATCAAGTACTGAGTTCCACAAACCCGCCTCCTCTTCATTCATTTTGTGATCCTCATAGGATGAAATTTCGGATATGTCATCAGGCACACAATCAGGAAATTCAATGGGCAGAGATGATCTGCCCATGTAACTGTCCCCTCCTCCAGCCGCACCAGGAACCGGATGAAGCTTCATGCCACCACCATTGTCGCTTGAGACAGAAAATAACTTCATTTCCACTTGTGATTGTGGTTGATCCTGTCTCTCGGTCATTGCTACTGTCTCTCTTGTTTCACTGAAGATCCCCGGTGATGAATGGTCTTGAATGGTAATACTGTTGGCCACAGAATGTACACTGAAATTGGCTAAGAGGGTCATCACATATACCATTAAAATCGGTGTTCGAGCAAGCACTTGCTGAAACAACCAGGCGAACGAAGCGTGCATTTCTCTCTGAACTTTACCCACAACTCCCTCTAAATCTTCATAGCATACTACCTCTCTCATCTGCAATGCATAGCTCTGAAGCTCTAGAATGATGAACACCATCGAAGAGAAGGCCTTTTTCACCGAAGAGCAAGATGACTCTCCTAAATCTGTAGAACCCTCCGGCCACTTTTGCTTCTTCTTTATCATCCGAAGCGAAAGTGGGAGTTCCATGCTGTTTGCCTTCTGTTCAATGCTTGCCCGAATAATCACTTCCCTTTCTGGCCATTCCGGTGGCTCAGGATGTATTCCAAGCATCAGGGGCTCCAAAAATTCCAGTTTTGACATATTCCTACTATATTTGCTTTCTTCATACGTAGAAGAACTTGCCCCAGAAATTGTACAAGTGGTCATCTTCTTACTGTGTTCTTCATTCTCTTTGTCATCCAACAAATCAAACATTTGTTCTAATAAATCTTCGTCACAGAACTCATCAAAGTTTGCACTGCAAGCTCGTTTCAGACTCTGCCCTCTTGAGACCAATTTGTTGAAAGATGGAGGGGTCGAGAGCCGTGTCGATGTGCCAGTGCCAGAAAGAACAAATTTACATAGCAGGGCTTGATCTCTTTTGGTATTTGGTCTTAGAAAAGACGGCGAGGTGGCCAGATATATGGGTATTGGGGACGAAAAAGATTGAGGGACTAAATGTTGTGGCAATTGCTCAATTTTTAGCCTCATATTGTATGGATCAAAGGTAAACAAAACTGAGAAGGCAAAGGAGAGATGCAAAATGTCTACCTAGAGAGAACTGATATAGAAGGAGGAATAGAAATAGTCAAATAAGATCAGAGAGCCAAAAGGGTCCTTTTCAATTAGCTGTAAAAAGCTAAAGTCTGAGCTTATCTATGAATCAATGGGGTTCTTGAGAGAGAGAGAGAGTGCGTATGTCAAAGACTCTAGAACCTGCTTTGCTTGCTTTCGGTTGAATCCAACCTGTGATTTACAGATACAAAGCAACATTTTCATTTGGTAAAAAAAACCAGGTTATGCACATGTGACTTTTCCTCCTCCACTCCATCCACCCCATGTCACACACATTGAAAAACCCAATTTAAAAAAGCAAAAAGGAAGAGAAAGATCACAGCTTTAGCGCAAAAGCTTGAAGCATAAAATGATTCTAATGGGAAAAAGTCAACAAAGAAAAATTTAATGGGTGCAAACCACCAATTTCAGAAAATCCATATTCCATGATCAATGCATATATATACAGGCGCCTAGGCCCTCCCAAAAAATTCTCAAAACTATATTTATGGTATGCATTTATGGTTATTAATGGTAATTTTGCTAAGAAAATTAGAGCTGGCCCTCCAAATTTTGTTAAAAATATCCTATTTATGGTTGGTTTGCTAAAAAAACTTACTATTATAACAGATTAATACTCTATTATACAAACATAAATATATATATGTGTGTGTGTGTGTGAAGCTATACATAGAAAATGAAGCACAAAAATTATCATACAGAATATACAGTTGATTAAGAATATATCACTCCAAAACAAAGGATCATTGCAGGAAACTTTTAATTTCAAGAATATTAATTATATAAGCAAATTGATTTCACATCACAAATTCTCACAAATTGATTTCAATTTCATGGATATAGATACAAAATTATGGGCTCACCAGAAGCTTAGGAGGCAAATGATTTGATGGTTGTCCGATGAGGAGAGACCAAAAGCACAGAGCACGGGCCTTGAGAAAGGACCTCTGTGGCTTTGTTTTCCATGGACACTCATTGTTGAAAAGTACCAAAACAATTTGGTAGAAGAAGAAAATGGTAGAAGTGGATAAGGGTTTTGTTTTTTTTTTGTTTTTTATTATTGATAAAAGGAAAGCAACAAGAGACTCTTCATATACACAGCATTGAGCCTAAGAAGAAGAAAAAACCACACAAAAGGTCAAAAATGTAGTGTCAATGAGTGGTTTTCATGTGGAGAGAGATATGATGACCGTTTTTAAGGTGTCTCTTGCTGTCCGCATAACTCAAGAAAAATACGGATCATTGACCCGTTGAGGCTGTGACTGTGAGAAATGTGCTCAACACCTAGTTGATTATATGCTGAATTGGATTAATAAAATTGGGTAATTATATCCATGATTGTATATGTCAATCTGAATTCTACATATATTTTTTTTTGATAAATACTGAATTCTACATATATTTCGTAACTAGATATATATATATATATATATATACTTAAATTATATATATTTATACTATTATTAAATGTGCAAAGTGTTTCAGTACTTCAGTAATTGGTTTTAAGTAAAAATAATTACATGAAAACCTCTTATAAAATTATAGAGCCTAAAAAATAATAATCACACCTTCTCGGCTTTTTGGCTAATATCAAGTATAGTACTAAATTTTTTTGGATTAGCCTTTTAGCTACCCTTTCTTGGTCTTTTAACTAAGATTAAGTGTAGTACTACTTTCTCGGCCTTTGTGCAAAGAGTTTCAGTATTTATTTATTAATTGATATAAATTCTATAAAACTCAAAATTACCCAATAAAACTCAAATTAATTCAAATTAACAAAATATAAAAGAGTTTAATTCACAATATCTACTCAAAACTCAAAATTACCCAATAGAACTCTCATTAATTATTATATCACACTATATAAATTCTATATCTACATCTATACTATTATTAAATGTGCAAAGTATTTCAGTATTTATTTATTAATTGATATAAATTCTATAAAACTCAAAATTACCTAATAAAATTAAAATTAATTCAAATTAACAAAATATAAAAAGAGTTTAATTCAAATTACAAAGTCTCATATTGGTTTTAAGTAAAAAAGATTACATGAAGGCCTCTTATAAAATTTCAGTATTTCAGTATTTCAGCATTTATTTATTAATTAATATAAATTATATAAAACTCAAAATTACCTAACAAAATTAAAATTAATTCAGATTAACAAAATATAAAAAGAGTTTAATTCAAATTACAAAGTCCCATATTGGTTTTAAGTAAAAATGATTACATGAAAACCTCTTATAAAACTATAGAGCTAAAGAAATAATAATCACACCTTCTCGCCATTTTGGCTAAGATTAAGTGTACTACTAATTTTTTTTGGGTCGACCTTTTGGCTAACCTTTCTTGGTCTTTTGGCTAAGATCAAGTGTAATACTACTTTCTCAGTCTTTGTGCATAGAGTTTCAGTATTTATTTATTAATTGATATAAATTCTATAAAACTCAAAATTACTTAATAAAATTCAAATTAAATCAAATTAACAAAATATAAAAGAGTTTAATTCACAATAAAGAGCTCTCACTAATTATTATATCCCACGATATAAATTTTATAAAACTCAAAATTACCTAATAAAAATAAAATTAATTCAAATTAACAAAATATAAAAAGAGTTTAATTCAAATTATAAAGTCCCACATTGGTTTTAAGTAAAAAAAGATTACATGAAAGCCTCTTATAAAACTATAGAGCTAAAGAAATAATAATCACACCTTCTCGGCCATTTCGCTAAGATCAAGTGTACTACTAAAAATTTTTGGGTCAGCTATGAAAGCCCAAGAAATAATAATCACACATTCTATTGGCCTTTTGGATAAGATCAAGTGTAATACTAAATTTTTTTAAGTTGGCCTTTTAGCTAACATTTCTTGGTCTTTTGGCTAAAATCAAGTATAATACTACTTTCTCGGCCTTTGTGTAAAGAGTTTCAGTATTTATTTATTAATTAATATAAATTTTATAAAACTCAAAATTACCTAATAAAATTTAAATTAATTCAAATTAACAAAATATAAAAAAGTTTAATTCACAAAAAAGAGCTCTCATTAATTATTATATCCCACGATAGAAATTCTATAAAACTCAAAATTACCTAATAAAATTAAAATTAATTCAAATTAACAAAATATAAAAAGAATTTAATTCAAATTATAAAGTCCCACATTGGTTTTAAGTAAAAAAAATTACATGAAAATATCTTATAAAACTATAGAGCTAAAGATATAATAATCACACCTTCTCGGCCTTTTGGCTAAGATCAAGTGTAGTACTAAATTTTTTTGGGTCGGCCTTTTGGCTATCATTTCTTGGTCTTTTGGCTAAAATCAAGTGTAGTACTACTTTCTCGGCCTTTGTGCAAAAAGTTTCAATATTTATTTATTAATTGATATAAATTCTATAAAACTCAAAATTAATATAAAAGAATTTAATTCACAATAAAGAGCTCTCATTAATTATTATATCCCATGATAAAAATTTTATAAAACTCAAAATTACCTAATAAAATTAAAACTAATTCAAATTAACAAAATATAAAAAAAAGTTTAATTCAAATTACAAAGTCCCACATTAGTTTTAAGTAAAAAGGATTACATGAAAGCCTCTTATAAAACTATAGAGCTAAAGAAATAATAATAGTATACTATTATTTACACAAAATATAATAAATTTAAATTATATTATACTACTCACACAAAATTTAATAACAGTTTAATTCAAAACCTAAACCAAACCCAAATGGACCAACTAATTCTTTCCACACTTGAAAACAAACATATTTAAATTAAGTACCATATTTGATCTGAACATTTCGGAATAGCTTTAGCGTTACTGTTGAAAATTCAATCTATAATCAATTGTGCTTGACCAAATAGTCTATATATTAAATTATTTGTCAATTTTCATATTTTTTATTTAATAAAATTCGTGATGTAAATGAGTCGTGAGTTTATTGCTGTAACCCACACTAAAAATGATATCTTGAAAAACAAAATTAATACATTAAACAACAGAGACCAACCAATATGCAACAACCAACCAAGCACGAAAAGCAAAATACAACACAACCTCTCCTAATTTGAAAACCCCCAAAGCTCTAAAACTTACCACATGCTTCCACGGTAATAAATTATTAAATTATAATAACAGTAATTACTTAATAAAATTCTAATTAATAAAATATAAAAAGAGTTTAATTCACAATTCAAATTATACTATACTACTCTCATTAATAAAAACCTATTCATAAAAAGAGTTTAATTCGCAATAAAGAGTTTAATTTTATATCTTACAATCAATAAAGAGTTTAATTAAAATTCAAATTATACTAAAATTCAAAAACTATAATAATTAATTTTTCTAATATAATATTTATTAATTGATATGTAAAATAAAATAATTTTTCTAAAACTCTACCACAATTTAGCTTTTATTATGAGTTTCTTAATAAAATTAAATCTAATTAGATAAGGATATATTTAAATAAAATAAAATAATTTATATAAAACACTATCATCACACTAGACAAAGAAATATTTAAAAAGTTTCTATAAAACTCCAACATAAATTACTAAAATATAAAAATATTTATTAATTCATATAAAAAGAGTTTTAAAAATATTTTCTATAAAACTCTAACACGTATTACCTATTTATCTATTTATTATGAGTTTTTTTAATAAAAAATATAATTAAACAATAATATATTTAAAGGAAATAAAAGTTTTCTATAAAATCTATCACAAATTATCTAACTCTAAAATTTACATAATAAAATTCAAATTAATCTATTAATCTATTTATTATTATGATATTTTTAATAAAAGATAATCAAATTAGACAATAATTATTTATATTAAAAATATTTATTAATTGATATATAAAATAAATTAATTTTTTTAAAACTCTACCACAAATTAGTTTTTATTATTATTTTCTTAATAAAATTGAATTAAATTAGACATGGATATATGTAAAGAAAATAAAACAATTTATATAAAACTCTATCACAAATTATCTATTTTTTAAAAAAAAAAACTCTACCACAAATTAGCTTTTATTATGAGTTTTTCATAAAATGAAATCTAATTAGACAAATATTATGAATATACAAAATTATTTATTAATTAATATAAAAAGAGATTTTCAAAGAGTTTTTATAAAACTCTAACACAAATTACCTATTTATCTATTTATTATGAGTTTTTTAATAATAAAAAATCTAATTAAACTAGAATTATTAAAATAAAAAATATTTATTAATTGATGTAAAATGACTTTTTAAAAGAGTTTATATTAAACTCTAACACAAATTACCTATTTATTTATTTATTATAAAATATTTATTAACTAATATAAAGAGAGAAATTCAGATAGGCATAGACCCATAATTACCGAAGCTCCACCAAAGAGTTTCAATATTTATTTATTTATATATAAAATACAAAATATAGAAGCTCTGCAAAATAGTTTCAATATTTACTTATTTATTTGTATAAACAAATTTATTAAATGTGCAAGGAGTTTCAGTATTTTAGCATTTATTTATTTATATAAAAAATATTAATTAAATGATATGAAAAGAAAATTAAAAAAACTTTGTAAAACTCTAAAATCTACCTAATAAAATTAAAATTAACCTATTTATCTATTTATTATTATAAATTTTTTAATAAATGAAAATCTAAAGTTTTAGTAGTTATTTATTTATATAAAAAATATTTATTAAATATGCAAAGAGTTCAGTATTTATTTATTTATATAAAAAAATATTAATTAAATGATATGAAAAGAGTTTTCATAAAAAAAAACTCTATAAAACTCTAAAATCTACCTAATAAAATTTAAATTAACCTATTTATCTATTTATTATTATGATTTTTTTAATAAAAGAAAATCTAATTTTCAGAGTAAAATACAAAAACTCTGCCAAAGTGTTTATTATTAAAAAATTCATAATAATAAAAGAAAATTTAAAGAGTTTCAGTATTTATTTATTTATATAAAAAAATATTTATTAATTGATATAAAAAGAGTTTTTATCAATACTATTATTAAATGTGCAAAGAGTTTCAGTATTTAAGTATCTATTTATATTAAAAAAATATTTATTAATTGATATAAAAAGAGTTTCTATAAAATAAAAAAAAAATAAAA